CTGTGGCTGTGAGTCCCTTTTCTCTCTCCTTGTTTTGTGTTTGAAACCTTAGGAGTATTCGATGTTACCCCTTTCACAGCTGTTGTAGATTACATGTTGCCTGCCTGTCTCTCACGGGGTTATGTGCTTCCTTGTAGCCTTTCTCATAGTTACTTAGAATGTCATTTGGAGAAAAAAAAAGACTGGCCTCCTAGATGTTGCTGGACAGAAAAGAGTTAGTACACAAAGAAATAAATTGTTATCATTTATACACCCTTATGTCTTTCTAAACCAGCATGATTTCTAATTCTGTAAAATGAACAATACAACAATGGACATTATTGACTTAAGGATATTTATGTTTCATCTTTGTGTGAAGAATGAAAGTCAGACAGGTTTGGAATGACACGATGATCACAGATTTTTCTTTTTTGTGTAAAATGTTGCTTTTTAAAGATTTGTGATTGGCTCTTTCATGGACATGGCATGTGATGTTTCCCAGTTTCAGAAATCATGGCTACCTGGACATTTAAACAAAGGTAGAAAAGTGTTTTTTTGGCTGGGATAAAGGGACCGAACAGCCATGATTAGCAGGCATGCTGTGTAGCCTTGGAAACCTGATATTTTGTGCTGGCGCAGGAATAGGGGGGCAACAAACCCAAATAAATGGAGTGGAACATGGACGTTCATTTCACCTGCACTCATCTATGCCAGTTATATGCTGAAAAATATATAAACGTCTGGCTTTTGGTTCGTGACAAGTCGCCAACTACTATTTTGCAGTGCAAAACATTGATGTTTCTAGTCTTTTAGTCAGGCACACAAACATCCAAAGTCAATTAGGCATCCAATTCAGATATATACCAAGGGAAATGACTGCCCACACTAGGTGATGGGGGTCTGCAGAATGTGTGGTGTATTTTTGTATTTACTGAATTTATTTAGCCTTTTTATTGCTGAGGGTATGAAAGAGGGAATGATAAAATAAGATTGTATCATTACATCAGTGGACCATGCCAGTGTGTCTCTTTATTCGCTAGACTTGACAGTACACTTGAGTCCAATTGCTGGAAGAGCTTAAAATAACACCATCCTTCTTGTGGTTTACTGCAGCAGCCCAATACAGCTTTATCTTTGCTCTCTGGTGTTATATAGTATAGAGTAAATAGTCCTTCAATCTTTGTGATGTAAACACAGAGGCGGCTTTCTTACCCAGGTGGGAGCAGAGAAGAGACTAAAAAATGTGTCTCTTTGAGTGGAAGAATCATTATTTTAAGGTTTGTAAAGGATGTGCCTCTGGTAATTGAACTATCATAGAAACAAAAAAGTAGATAGAGCTTGCTTGAGGAAAAATGAACTGCTGTGATACAAGAGTTGGCTGGAAAACCTGCCCAGTATTTGCCCTTCTCTACTGATAAGGTGATATGAGTGGTTTTTATGGTGTTGCTAGGTTGGGGTAAGTGGTTGCTAGGGTGTTACCTACTGGTAAGAGATGGCATAACAGAAGCACTTCAAATATATGAATGGGAGAAATGCAACACTCAACAGAGTTTGTCTGTCTGGCTTTTTTAACAGCTTTGACATCCCTTAAATTTTTCCTATAGAGATTTGTAAAAAGTATTTTGTTAAATAGTTATAAGCCACTAATCAGACCAGCCAGTTATG